TTCAGTTTTTTATCTATTAAAAACTTAATAATTATCTATAATTATCAAATTATAATATTATAATCTATAATAGAAAAATAATAAATATACTAAATAAAAATATAAATAGTTTTAAAAAAAATAATTAATTGTTAATACCTACAAACTGAGATCCCAAAAGTTTTGGCCCGTCTCCATCTCGGGTCGGGTTTCTAGAACCCAATTGTACTTGCAAAAACGAAAGACAAGCGCGACGATGACTTAAAAGTCGGTCTGCGACTGTGGAAAGTTTGATGGAAGAACAGAGCAGAAAACCAAGAAAAGTAAGAGAGGAGGAAGATGAGCAAGAAATATGGAGTTGGGGGGCTGGTACGGATGGCCAACTGGGCACAGGCAGGCTTGAAGACGATCACCTTCCTCAACTCCTTCATCTTCCTTCTTTATCATCTCTCGGTCCCATCTCTCTTCTCGCTTGCGGCGGCGCTCACGTTATCGCCTTAACCGCCGGTACTACTTCGCTCCATTCCTCTGTTTTATTTTTTCAAGATAATCTCACACAGACACACAGACACAGACACAGACACACACATATTTATGTATAAATAGTCGTATTGATCAACATAGACTTGTTTGCGGGTTATATATCTCTACATCTTTAGAAAAATTTTCAGACTTCTTCAGTTGGAACTAAGGTTTGTGGTTCAAATTTCAATTAAGTAGTAACAACAATTAATATAAATGAGTGATATTTTAACTTAGTTCTATTTACCATTCAGATGAGCTGTTTTCCGTCTCAAGATCGAAAAAAAGAGAGCTGTTTTTGTCAAAATATCATTGCGTTATTGTGGAATTGAAGATCCGAGTTGAGATGGTTCAAATATGTACTCAATATATAAATTAAGTAATTAAGATAAGAAGTAGAATACGAATAAGATAAATGTGATCTAGATGCAACGGAAGTGGAAGGGGATGAGGACTAAACCAAGTACAATGACGGAGAAATTATAATGTAATGTAATGTGGCTTTGTTCTTCTTTCATTATTATTGATAGGAACTTTTGTGTTAAGAGCCTAGTAGTCATTTACAAATAGATCCATACTACAACCACAAATCCATGGGTCAACATTTTGTGCGATTAGTAGGAAACATGGATCCAAATAAGCATAGTTCACGGCACAAGGATGAAGGTTTTCTTTATTTTTCAATTTCATTATTGCAGGTGGGAGGGTACTGACATGGGGAAGAGGAACATCAGGTCAGTTGGGCCATGGAGAGAATGCTAATAGCTTATATCCAAACCCTGTTACATCCTTGGAAAGCTACACGATAATTAATGTTGCTGCTGGATGGAACCATTCTGGGTTTGTTTCTGGTTCGTTGTCAAGATACTGATGGTTTCTGCTCCCGCTAGTTTGTATTCTGCAAACTCAAATTCATGTCACGAAACTGTATATCTTGTATGTTGGTACCTTTGTAGTGCAAAAATGTACTTGTCAGACATACTTCTTCTTGGATACCCTTTGTACCTTTCCTTATTCTACTTTGTAAACTCTCAAGCGTTTGATTTGCGAGTTTTCATTGCTCTACTTGGTATATGCTCTAGTTATGCTTCTTAAGAGATGATATAGAATTCACATCTGCTTGTCTTTGTCATTAGACCCTGATTTTTAGTTTCATTTACAGATAGTGGATGCCTTTTTAGTTGTGGTGATGGATCATTTGGTCAGCTTGGGCATGGTGATTACAGGTCACATTGCTCTCCTGTTAAAGTATCATATTTTGTTAATAAGCATGTTCGGCAGGTAGCATGTGGTATGCGCCATTCACTTGTATTATTGAGAGGTAAACATGTGATGAATCTTTTGTATTATCAGTATTCTTGATTCTCTTTTTGAGTGGGTCAGTACTGGTAGTCCTTTCTAGTTGCTAAATATGGGTGTCAATAATGCCTTGCTGCTTTCAGTACAAAACTCATTTCATACTTGAAACATACAGAGAAAGTTGGTGAATAGGAAAGTTTTCTTCCAAAATGTATTTGTTAGAAGTTTCTTAACTAGGATGTACTACATGAACAGATGGTTACTAGAGTCAGAACACGGATGAAAAATATAATGCTTTAGATCACTAGATGCATGAAGGTGGAGCTAAATAGGTCCTAGCATTCTAAGCAAAAGCTGAGGAATCCTGGGACTAATGAAGGAATAGTTGATATACACATACATATCTGGAATGTATGCTGAAGATGTGAAAGAGGAGCAGAACTGTTCTTTAGGATGCTGGCAAAATCATGAGCCGAGTTGCTACCACCAGTTTCATGTTGTAATAACTAAGATTGCTTTGATGCAGATTCGTCCAAAGATCAAGTCTATGGATTTGGATCTGGAAAACGAGGTCAACTGGGTATCTCGATGGATATGGTAAAATCCATTAACCTTCCCCAGGTTACACTTGGATTTGAGGATGTTGAAATCACTAACATCACCGCAAATGGAGATCACAGTGCTGCATTATCTGGTAAATCCTTACATGCTCACCAAACAAGACCTTAATTAAGTTAACAGCTCTTAGGAAGTGCATAATCCAAAGTGACGTAAACATTGTGGAAGATCTCATATTGCTGATAAAAGTGACGAACTAAGTTACTTTTACTTATTTGTTTTTGTTTTTCTTTCTGCATTGCAACAGCTGAAGGCCATCTGTACACTTGGGGAAGAGGGTTCGCTGGCACTTCTTCTCATCTGTGTCCTCAACGTTTGTCTTCATCCTTACTGTTCACTGGTGTAGCTCTTGGATGGAATCATGCTTTAGTATTGACCAGTATTTGCTCAATCTTCTCTTTTCTCTTCAACTGAAAACCGAGATGGTTAGTGATTCTAACAGAAGTCTTTTGTATCTTAAACAGGTGATGGGGAGGTTTTTATGCTTGGAGGCAGCCACCATGGAGCACTAGGTTATCTAGAGAAATTGACTCCAGAGAAGCACTCATCTGGTAACACAATTGGCTGAATTGAAAACGCTTAAGCCAATTTAGCCAGTATTATTTGCATTCACAAATTTCAACCAGTGTGATCTATAGTTTTGCTCTTCTTTTTTCTTCGTACCCAGAAGATTTCAGGGAAGCTGCTCTAGAGAAGGTCCATGACACTGATGGAGCGAAAGTTATGCAAATTGCAGCTGGAGCAGAGCACTCTGCTTTTGTAACGGGCAAGATACCACCAATCTTCATAGATTCCTTTACAGAAAATTACCATTTTACTCTTTATGGTTTAGCGTTCTTCCAGTTTAAACCCGTTTCTTAATGATCATTAACTATATGTAGGTTGAACTTTTATCGTTCCATGTAAAATATAGTTCATATAAATGTTTACGCTTTTATAAACTACATGTTTATATAAAAGAAGTGGGGATTTTGTTGAGTCTGTATTATTCTGAAATGCAGAAAAAGGAGTCGTGAAGACATGGGGCTGGGGGGAGCATGGTCAGCTGGGATTTGGCAGCACACGAGATGAGACAGATCCGCAAGTTGTGAATGTAGGTCAAGAGCTCCTGAACCAGGATTTCACAGTCAATGTATATTGTGGAAGTGGCTTTACATATGCCTTGAGGAGAAGAAGACTTCCTTTCACCTCTCCTAGCTGATATATTCACGTCGTGCTGCCGTTTTGATCTTTTTTCTTTTCCGTTTTAACGGCCACGGAAGAGTTTGTCCTACTCTGATAAATTTGTGTTGTATTATATAATCATTTATTTACATTTTATTTTATATTTAACTTTATTAAAAATGACCTGGCTTTTGTGATTATTAACAATATAAAAAAAGAGAATACATTTTAAGTAATAATTATATTTTTTAATGTATTTTTCTCAAATATAAATGTATTTATATATATATATATATATATTTTCGAGAGGGGGCTTGGTTTGAAGGTTTGGGGCTTATTTAGAAATTCTCCCCACATCCTGTCGCTCAAAATAAGCCAAATTATTGTACCTTCTACACCACGTGGCGCTCTTCTAGTCAATCAAACCAGTGGTTGTATGCAGAATGCGTGCATCTAAAATCAAAATGTTTTTTCTCCTTCCCTCCTCATCTTCTCACATTAACGCTAATATGTGGAAAAAAAATAAAAAGCCCTTGAACACCAGTGAAGCACAAAGCTGAAACCTCTGTTTCCATCATTCTTTATTGTCTAAAAACAGTGTGTTTGGAAGAAAGGAGAAAGACAAAAGAATGATGGATGTTGCGGTTTCATACAGGGGTGGATTCAACATCAACGGAAGCGGCTTGACCGGCACTCTCGCTGCCAATCCTGGAGAGCTGAAGCTTCAAGCTTCCATTACCGACGCCAACATCTCTAATGGCCTCTATTTTGACTTCGGTGGCCTCTTACTCTCCATTGAGAAGCCTGGTTCCTTCATTGTCGACTATGACGTCCCCAAAAAGGTATGCTTCTAGACAGATTTAGAATTGTGGAGTTGCTGCTTGGTTGTCAGGAAAATGTTGGATGAAAAAGAAGGTTGACACAAATTTGAATCTTTTCTTTCTTCCTAACGTGGAGGTTTAATTGTTGTTGCACAGGATGTTCGGTTTCAGTTTATGAATTCATTCAAGTTCATGGAAAAGCAGATAAATTTCACTTATACTCACACGAGACAAGAAAACAGGACGATTTTGGATGGGTCGTTGGTGCTTGATACTGCTAACAAGTTGTCTGCAAATTATGCGCTTGATACTCGCAATTGCAAGTTGAAGTACAGTCATGTTCATAGGGGGTTGACAACGTTGGAGCCGACCTATGATTTTGCCAAGAATTCGTGGGACTTGGCCGTGTCGCGGAGAGTTCTTGATGGTGATGTAATCAGAGCTTCGTATGAGACATCTAGCCAGATTTTGGGTCTTGAGTGGTCTTGGCAATCCATGATGGATAAAGGTGGAAGGTACAAGGTATAATATTATTACTTATAATTATGCTTTGACATTCTGTTTTCCCC